TAATTTTTATTGTGTTAAGCTCAATTTAATACAATATTAATTGAGAAGAAGTATGATACACTTTATAGAGAGAACTGCCCTATCGTTAAACGCTTTGAACATGAACCTCAATTTAAACTCCATCCAAACACATTCAAATTTGTTTAAATTTGTGATAGAATGATTTAACTTGTTAAGATTAAAGATTGGCTTAGAGATCTTGACAAGAAAAAGATTAAATTGATATCATATAAAAAGGTATACAAATTTAACGCGGAGATTTCAATTTGGTTTAAGATTTTCATTCACAAAAATGTCTATTGTATTTATAAATCGACTGTACACATAATCCTCATTAACTTGTTCTCGAACTGTACTGAGATGTTTATACAATCCTCATCCAACTTGAACAACACACTCTTTATGTTAACAGTACTCATTTGACGATACGTATTTTCCTAATTTTTCACCACTTAAAATCGCTACTTTAAATGTTCCATTAGAGTGACAAAAAACGCCAGCTTTGTGCCATAATCAATCACTAGTGTACATGTTGCTCGAAATCGAGCAATCGCATAGAAGTAAAGGAGAAAGGAGTTATTTAAAAACAGATAACTTATTTACAAATTTCTGTCTTTATTTTAATAGCACCAAATAATCAAACTACCTGATTTTCTGCATAACCTCTATGTCACATTTTTACAATTAACATATGTTCTTCTTCTCACTTGTAATTTCTGACAACAGCTGGAGTTTCATAACAATGTTTGTTTCCCATGTTAATCTAATGGAGAAATACGAATCTTTAAGGGGCCCCAGGGCCTCACACTCTAATTATTTCCATAAAAAGAAAGTTTCCTGCACAACTTCATGTTACCCTCTTTCCAATGACACCAAAAACATGCCAATTGGTTCAGTAGTTTCGGAGGAGTAATTGTCACAAAAAACCTGCTTGCGTATTAAATAAGTACTAGAGGTCGTCCAGTGGTCGAAACTCGACCAAAAATATGTAATGTAAACTTACTCACTTCTCTATTTACACCCTACACTGTAAATAAAACATGTGATTGGAGTTTCATCCATTTGTTTTGATTTTCTGTTTATATTTCGTTGTTATTTCGTCACCAGCATGGCAACGCATAAGATCCATGTTAATTTTTTCAAATTTTTAAACTCATTTTTTGTGCTTATCTTTGAGCCTATTTAAATTTATAAAGGGATTCTGCACACCTACAGGAAAATAGCTTTCTAACGGTATGCGTAGATTTACCCCACGATGCACACGAGCTGAGAAAAAAGGTTTTAAAGAAACATGCTTGCCTATTAATATATAGATAGACTAGTGAACCTGTGCGGCTCAATGCCCCGCAAAATAACAAATATGAATTTAGAAAACAAATTCATCGTATTAGGCCTATATACTCACCCTGTATATTGACTCGACGTCAAAAATTAAATACAGTAATAATGAAGCCTTGGAAGGGAAGCAGTCCAGCCATGTTCTAGCTGTATATGTATTATATTTAGTAAATTAATAAGTGTTCAAGTTCAAGTATGTTATAGGCAGCGAGCAAGGTTGTAGGGTAGTATTTTTTTAAAGATTTTTAAAACACATTTAACAAAACATTTGATCATATCAAACAAATAGGCCTATGTAGCATATTTTGAGGGTCATAAAAATGCTGCTTGAAGAAAACACACTTTTAAAGATAAACACTAAAAAACTATATTTTTATCACAAAAGCACTTCCATGAATACTACGATTTTAGCCTTAAAGTTACCTTCAGGAAGATTACCCTGGTCAGAGATTTCCGTAACGAATATGCATATCCGATTAAAAGATGTAGCCTTACTTAAAACAACACATAATATAGCGCTGCAAATGCCAAAGGTAACAGAAATTAGCATCTTTCCATTTTAAAAGGTAAGTTTGTTTCAGACGGTTAATTTTTATCATCGAAATCAAAATATGTCCCAACTCACTTGTTCCAGTTAAGACTTTACATTCTATTACGTTGTTAACCATTCTGATCACATGAAGCCTTGTGCCATTATTGAGGCCCTTTTTGATGTATCGATATTCCTCATCAATAAAACCACTGCCCCCTTTTATTAGTCTAATCTGTGTCTTGGCAATCCACTGACCTCTATAACACTCAGTTGGATTTTCTAGATGGGTGTCTCCGCCTTCGTCTGTTTTCAAGGACCCACTATTCTTCCCCTTCGTATACTGACAATTAATTACCTGACTTGTCAAGTTCATGTAGTAATTCATTAATACTGTTAGTTTGTAAAGAAAATTAGATAAAATACTTGGCTTGGTGCTTTCATAACTGCAAACTCAAAATACACCCACAAATGAAAAAGATTCAAGATATTGGTAAAAAAAAAAAAACTATGTTTGTGTAATAACATTATTCACATGAAGTAGATGATTTGTTTGATTTGTCGATCAGCTGTTTAGTTTCAAATGAATTAATAATGTCAAAGATTTGTGATTTAAATACACAAATTATTATAGTAAAGTTTTCTAAATCATGGTAACTTATCCTCCACTAAATTTTACTATTCCCAGCATTAAAATAAAGTAGTAAGATCCATTATGGGTAAACTTTAAGGCACACAATCCTCGATTGAAATGTAGTAGATATACATTAAGAGTCATAATACACAGAAATTATTATGTAGTAGACTTTGACTATTTTCAAGTAACAAACATATGTTTCTGTAAATAAAAATTATCTCCCATGTTATCCTTATGGAGAAATACGAAACTTTAAAGGGCTCCAGGGCCTCAATCTCTCATTATTTCCCTAAAATGAAAGTTTCATGCACAACTTCACGTTACCCTCTTTCCAATGACACCAAAAACATGTCAATCGGTTCAGTAGTTTCGGAGGAGTAATTGTCACAAAAAACCTGCTTGCGTATTAAATAAGTACTATAGATATACCACGAACAAAACAACCTGCGCAGAAACGAAAAGATCACGTGGTTCGCGCAGGTAGGTGGGCCGTACCATTGAAACCTGCGCGGCTCGAAACGGCCGAGGGTTCTTTTGTTTCTGGTATTACTATAGTGTACATGTTGCTCGAATTCGAGCAATTGTAAAGTATTACAGGATTGGCAAACCAATAACAATCATTACTTAGCTATCAACATTTCAACAAAAACACACCTATCTTCCCTGTAGCAGCAAACCTAAGTACTCATATTAAAATTAAATTAATGTTATTTAAGTAGGAAAAATGACCATTTTAAGGGAATAATTAATCTTTGTATTAATTAAGCCAAGTAAATGGAAATTCACTTAGACTGAAGGTTTGCTGCAGATACACAATTTTAATAACAGCAAAGATTGAAGAATCTGAATTATTACTTATATCCACGAATTTATCTAACAATTATTTCCTGTAAAATATTATTACAGCAGTTCAAAAATATTGAAACTAACTCGATCAACAAATGATGTTGAAAGAATTCCATACTAATGACATTAACATATAGTTTGGCAGTTCAATTTAATCAATGTTAAATGTTTACATTCGGGCATAGACAAAAATGATTCGGGCGAGTGACATATTTGATTAATGTTTATGATCCCTGCCGTTCCTGTTCTAATAATCATGCAGTATTTAATATGTTTGAACCAGCTGTGTGGAATTGTGAAATCAAAATTAATTTGACAGTTAGTTCTGCTTGTTTACATTTTTAAATTTTGTAGGTTTGTTCTTTGTTACCATGGATACCATCAATAAATATTTCACTCTTAATTTCTGACAACAGCTGGAGTTCCATAACAAATTTTGTTTTCCATGTTAATCTTATGGATAAATACGAAACTTTAAAGGGCCCCAGGGCCTCACTCTCTAATTATTTCCTTAAAAAGAAAGTTTCCTGCACAATTTCACGTTACGCTCTTTCCAATGACACCAAAAACATGTTAATTGGTTTAGTAGTTTCGGAGGAGTAATTGTCACAAAAAACCTGCTTGCGTATTAAATAAGTATAGATATAGATAATAGAAGATTTTGCAAATACTTTGCTTTTTGCTTGTCGATTGAGACGAACTGTTTCTGAGAGTAGAAAATCCCGCTAAAAGTGTTTTAAGTAGCGCCGCTGAAATGAGAGTAATCGCGGTTGTGATCGAAGGTTATTGAGAGTGTTTGAGAGCGAGCGTTCACAACACTCGACGCTCAAACAAAGCACAAAGCAGTAATCGCTGCATTTAGTGTTGCCGTGTCGGGTGTCGATCGCTCTGTTTTACACAAACCAAAACTGCAGCTCCGACTGTGAACATCCGCTGCAGGAAGTTGTCACGAAGATCGTTCGTAGTGTGATATTGTCACAGTTCAAAAAGTAGCGTTTCTATGAGAATTGATGAGATTCTGTAAAATATGTACTTATTTAATCATTATAGCATTGGATGACGAATATTTCCATATAATGTGTATGGACCTCTGCTGCTAGTTTTTGTCACAACCAAATCAACAACTCATCGAGTTCAATCGCTTTTGGAGATCAATTTCGCTGTTGTCTTTTAAGCTACAAAGTTTGCGATAAGGTCAAACATTCCTCGTATCCCAAAATATAGTGGTAAAAAGTGATCCAAATTAATTCTAGGTTGAAAAAATACAAGTTAAATTATAAGATAAACGACGTATTCGAAGTTCTATATTTTACACCATTGTGTAATGCATTAATGTACTATAACATAACGCTCTACTCATAGATGCGGTGAATTCACGACCCTGCTGACTCCCTCCCAAAAAGAATTTCTTGGAAATGGCCTTAGTTTTTTAAGACAAGATGTGTTAGTTTACGAAAAGTCCTTTCAGCTTGGCAAGGTCAAATTGTCAACCGTTTATTGGTACTTAACAGAACGTAGATGGCTCAGTTGAAGTAGGTGATTCTGTTTCGTCAGCCACACCTTTAACGTGGGAATATAATGCCTACTGTTCAAAACACTTTGTATGTTTTATGGCATTTTCACTAACTTTCAATTAATTGTTTGTTTCAGATAATCACAACTTCCACGATGAACCAGTGAAAGTCCAACACAGATCTTACCTCCAGTGCCCAAACTGAAGAATCCAATGGATACCGCCAGAAACTGAAGCTTCAGTGAATAAAACGAAGAAACTGAAATAAAACCCAGGAAGAATACCTATCATCAGAAAGTGTTTCTTAATGTGAATCAGCTACAGCGTGAATTCAAGTTAAAAAAGATAGGACTCGACTATCACACAATCAATTGCAATAATTGTATCAGTGAAGTGCGAAAGAGTGGAGAGTGCAATAGGTATGTGAACTAACATTATTGGTGTAAGGGTGAACTATTTATTTCTGTGAAATTACCACACTTGCAATGACTCTGGAATGTTCGCGTCGCTGAAGTTATCCAACCTGCGGGGACGTAAGGTAGAGGGAGGATCTGCTGGTCCTCCCCACTTGGACTTAACCGCCTCCACTGCCCCCGCCACCCCCGGCTCTCCTGCCTCCGCCAAGAAGCCTCCGATAGTCACCACCAACCGCCGGTCTCACAAATGTAAGTACATCATGTCATACTTAACCGACGCCCTTCCGTTAGTACGCAGGCACGCCTAGGCTGCATGAGAACACTTCACGCATGCGTTCTTTCGATTAAAATATGGGCCTGGCAACAATTAATTAGGAAATAATGCAGTATATCACTTGCATGTTTAGATACTAACACATAGAACGATTCTTTTTTTCAAACAATGAAAAATACACATGTTTTGAAGCAATTTAATTTACGAGAGATATTTGAAAACGAAATAATCAAATTGGTTTTGCGATTAAAACTTTTTTTAATTCTTCTACTAATAGTCATAATATATAACCCTAAAAATTTACTACATATTTTAAGCTTGATCCTTTATGTATAATCGCTCCAACGGACTGTCCGATTGGTATGCCAAATGGAAAGTGCAAGGATCCCCTTTGTAATGGTGTTTGAGCAATTATGTTTCTTTACTGTTACGTTTTCATTATCCTTTATCCTTGTGCTATTTAAGGAATGATGTAATAATTGCTATCGCAGCTGCCCGTAATCTCGATGTATTTCCCACCAAGTTCGAATTCAGATGATTCTCTAGTAGGAGTGTCACAAACTACTCTAAAATTGACAAACCTGTGGAGAATTTTTAGCTCGGTTCTTTGCCAGAAAGTATGTGTTTTTATATAAAGCGTGCTTTGTATCCTAAAGCTCTTGCCTCATGAAAATACTTGTGGGTCATCAAAATGTTTATGAAGTTTCTGGCTACGCACCCTCACATTATGGAAGGTGGGGTTTTAGAATGACTATTTTATTTTTCATAAGTCGACGTTTGCTCTGATTGGGAATACGAACAATTGGACCGATACCCACTAATTAATTAATTGCCTCGTGGCTTTTAGAAAATTCTCATATAACTTCTATTGTTTTCTAGTTGGGCAAAGTTAGGTTTCAAACCACCATTACGATTATGGCAAAACTAAAAAGTCATTGGTGATAGCTGGAATTTCAATCCTAACCTGTGTAAAATACTCTAATTCACTATTACCAAACTTTTCATCCACCCTAAAAGTGACGAAGGGAGACAAACTCGTTAGGAACAAGTTAGGCATGAAAATTCAACATCCACCCAAAAACCAAAAATAACTAATTTAGTCCAAGACCATCAATCAGTATTAACCTCAGCCATGACAAGGTCTACGATCTCTCTACATGACAAATTACAGGACGACGTCACAAGGATGGTTGTACGATTGCAACGACCCGAGCAACTTCCTGTCCACATAAACATAACCCTGCTATTGAGTAGCAAACTGGCGATTCGCATGCGCAGACTGTAGTTGTAAATGCAATCACAACTACTAACAAGAGCCTGTCAACACTAACAGCTAAGCGATTGTTCCGGTCTGTTCCGATCACTGCGTTTCAACTCTCCACGCCTTCAGTTACGGTTCAGGGACAAAGAGGGTTAGTTATAGGTTGGTTGTACGTCTTTGTTGTTGGTGAATAAATATAGTTTGAATTGCCGTATAATAGTTTATGGTTATGTACTAATGACTTTGGCTGCGCTAGTATGATTCGGGATTCCATACCATATCCGATTTCTGTTTAGGTCAACTTTTGGTTAATCTAGCTCGGTTATATTATCTCTCGTATTTAGTTTTTCAATAGCATAAAAAACTAAGAATTGTTTGCATGGAATTGCTACGGACTTTGTATATAATTCAGTTTCAATACACAACTTAAATTAGTATTGTCATTTTTTTGTAGTCAATGACGGTCTTTCCGTACATTCGTCAACGAGCAATAACAACAAATACACTATCGAATATTTAACAAGAATATTGTTAACCGGAAACCGGTCGAAACAATCCCAAATACTCTCTTAGTACTATTTTAACCTTGGTCAGGACCCCATTACAAATTTTCTTTAGACCAAACAGGCAACCTTACGATTCAAAGGAGAAACCTACTTCAACGGAAAATACTAGTACTTGTTATACACGACTGTTAAGGTATAAGAGGTAACAATTAATAGATTACGATTGCATACACTCGCCTACACGAACAAACATAAAAACAACACACTTAACAAAACCCCTACGAACATTTCCCAAAGTCACTTCTTCTAGTTTGATGTGACATACTAAACATTAAACCTTTGGATTTCCAGCTTTGTTTTCTCTTCAGCCTTAAACCAAAAGCATCCAACCTCCAACCTGAATACCAAACTTCACGTTACTGATTCCACTCTCAAAACCAGGAGCAACTAAGTATTCTACGTACGCACCACACTTGTAAAACATTCGAAGCCGTTCCAGTTTGTAACCTGTGTTCTGACGTTAGTCTAGGTGTATTCTTGGCTGACGGCGGAACAAATTCAGTAATTGAGCGTAAAGCGGACACAGCGCTGACGAATTTGAACAGCCGCCAATGTGTAAAAGTAGTCAATTTATATACCGTAGATTCAAATCTCGCAGCAGAGGAAGTTGGAAGTTTGGCAACAAGGTAGGCTGAGCGCTGAGCAGTGTTTGGAAACAATCAGCTGGGTAAGTGACGTTTGGTGGAGCCTAGCCAAGTGACTGAGCCTAATTCCGTCCTGCTTCGATCATAAGTATCAGCTGGGCTTCCGTCGCAGACTGGCAGCAGAAACGCGTTGAATATAGAAACCGCTTTCCGAAAATATTGACGTAAACTGAAAAACACATTAAGGAGTTATAAATATTTACTAAGTTTGTAATATACAAATTAGGAAGTTATTTGTTTACAAAACGTTTAGGTTAGAGTTAAAAATTAAGGTAACTGGAAATAAATTGAAAGATAATTGAAAACAAATCGAATAAAGGTCGATTCACACACATCAGTTACGGCACGTTGCAGTCCAGTCACTTCAGGCACGTCACAGTTAACAAAAATATTCTTTGATGGATTTTCTATTGCGCTATCTACACTCATCCGTTGCAGTCCCGTCAGTCACTCTGCTGGCATCCGTCAGTCAATTTCAGATTTCTTTCCAACGATACTTTTTGATTGTTCGGACGCCTGACGGAAGTGTTTGAGGTTAGAAAATAGTGTTATTGTTATTTAAATGGTTGCGTTTGCATTTTGAGTACTCTTTGTAACAATCAACAAGATGGACAATGATAATTAAATAGAATATAGGTTTAAAATTTAATTTTTTTGACTGTAAATTACTGTAAATATTAGAGACGGAAGACTGACTGAAACCAACTGACGGACAATTGACTGAGAAATTGCGGATGCAACTGTGACTGGACTGTAACTGGACTGCAACTGGACTGTAACGGAACTGTGACTGGGCTGATGTGTGTGAATCGACCTTGATGTAGAAGAAATTAATTATTGCTAAACCAATCTTGCCATCAATGGACCTACAGGATCGGGAGCAAAGAATGCCAGATGCCAAACCAGACAGGCGCGGTGTTCAGCTGATCATAAATAAATAAAACACATGTTAGCAATCTTTGGCTGTTTGTATAACACATACTTTCACAGAACACAATAATTAATTAATGATAATAATTGTCATTAATATAAATCGTTCATTAAACCATCATTTTGTATAATTAGGCTAGTATAGTTCTAAGATTTGATTTTCCTAAGCATTTTAAATGAGTGAAGTGCATTTTAACAAAATACATTTTACAGTTAAAGCTTTTCGACAATTAAGAATGGGGTCAAGTTTTGCTTGTAAATTGCATAGATTTATAAAGTTTTTGGTTATTTCTATGTTTCAAAGGACAGTGAGAAAGCCAGAAAACAAGTCTCATTTATATTTATGTCTGTCTGTTTAAGTGTCTGTTGGTGACACCATAGACAAACAGAATTAAATATGACACTTAATTTGTTATTTACACGCTCAAGGAAATATAGAGCATGGATAAAGATTCAACTCTTTTTCATGTATTCACAGTCTTTTACAGTTAGAATGTTTTAAGTTAATTCATTTGCTCCTCTCCACTATAACCACTTGCAACTATACCTGGAGTAAAGATGGGACACATGGCTACAGAGGTCACAATTGGCCCATTAATTGGTCCTCACTGATCACTGCCATTAAACAATCAATGGCACTTTTAACTTATAGTTCAGAGTATTCTTTACATTGGGAATTTATTAACTCTCTTCACGAACTTAAATGGTTTATTTTGCCTGGTTTAAATTAAATTTTAATCCTTGTAAGAATATATTTATTGATTGTCATTTGTGCAAATAACTATCTACCCAAAACATAAATGGTCTAATTAATTGTGGTGTCTTGAAAAAATATTTATTTGCCAAACAAAATTGTCAACCTAAGAACAATGTGTGTCTGTCAATTTGCAAATTAAATGTTTGTTTCCACAATTTCCCTCAACATCCAGGTGAAAGATCTTGTTGGATGTTTTGAATAGGGGTTTTTGTTGCTAAAAATCCATTGGTAAAAAGCCACTACCTTGGAAAAACACATGTTTGAAAAAAAGCTCATTTAAGGGGTCCATCCCATGTTAATTTCTTCAAATTAGGGTACATTTTTCTAAAAAAGTATTAGAGTTAGGGACCTAACTTTGATGTTGCTGAAATGAGTGTTTGATGAGTAATTACAGCTGGTAACTTTGTAAAATACCAATCGGGTACTTAATTTTTTAATCAGCTGTTTTTTTTTATTTTATTTAAATATTTATTTATTTATTTATTTTGCATTTTTTTATACCACAAACTATATAAGATTATGTTCTTAAATTTTTTATCATTTTTAATCAGGTCTTTCTTTCTGCACTTTTTCCATTAATAATATTCTGATATATGTGGTCTACAGTTTTAAAAATATTTACTTCTTAAATAATTATCAAAATAAATAAAAACAGCTGTTCTTAAAAAAAATTACCCGACAAAATTACCCGATTGGTATTTTAAAAAGTTACCAGCTGTTACTCATTACATACACTCTTTTCAGCAATATCAAAGTTAGATCCCTAACTCAAATACTTTTTTAGAAAAATGTACCTTAAGTTTAAGAAATTAACATGGGATAGTAGGACCTCCTTAAAGACATTTTCAAATTGACAAAAAAATAAGAATGTTCTTAGATCTAATGTTTTATCAATTTCATTAGTTTAAATCAGTGTTTTCTTTTAAGGGAGTATTGATCGAGCCCTTTGTCCTGGCATTGGAGACAAAAGGTCAGAAGAAAAGCCAAAAATGCCTGCCAGGGTGGAAATTAGCCACAACAGGCAAGAAAACATTGAACTTCACAACAATACAAATCACAGTGTCGAGTGGGACACACAGTCTTATGGTATGTATGCAGAAACAATTATACAGGGTGATTGATATAAGTGTGCCAGCCGTTTTATTCGAAAACTATAAGAGATATTGTAGTGTCATTCATATGCCTTTGCATTTAACATATGTTTTATAATTTAGTTTGTTGTTGTGGTGATGATGACTCTTGTTGAATAATAAACACATTCTTTACTTGCAGCATTTATTAGTATTTTATATTATCTTACATGGTGTCAGGTTGTGAAATAAACATTTAAAATATGCCAAGACCTAACAAGAAATCTTCTAGAAAGTCAAAAAAGGAAGAGGACGAGTTTACAACTGAAGATTCTGGAGATGAGGCAGTTGGTCCTCGACATAGAAGTAAGTTTCAAATAGGCTCTGATAAATCTATGAAAATGATTAGTACCCAATCAAAGCCAGCACCAATAGTGATAGGTCTACAGGCACCACTAAGTGCTCCTGACATATTTGATTTTACCAACCCAGCTATGTGGCCTGTATGGATTAAGCGGTTTGAACGTTACAGGCAGGCATCAGAGTTGTATCTAAAACCGGACCACCAGCAAATAAGCACCCTTTTATATACTTTAGGGCAGGAAGGTGAAGGTCTTTTTGAAACATTTGGACTAGGCGAAGAAAAAGAGTTAAGTTATGAGGATGTAGTAAATGCCTTTGCGAGGTACTTAGGCCTTAAAAGAAATTTGGTCTACGAAAGAGCTAAATTTCTAAAATGTAGGCAAAGTGCAGGTGAACCGGTGGATGCTTTTGTCAATGACTTGCACAAACTCGCGGAAAGTTGCGAGTTTGGACAGCTCAAGGACAGTTTGGTACGAGACTTAATTGTTATTGGTGTTCATAACCAAAACTTATCAGAGTCTCTACAATTAGACGAGTCATTGACCCTTCATAAGGCAATCACGAGAGTATGTCAAGCAGAAGCAATGTCTAAACAGCAAGCTGTAATTAGAGATAAACCATCCAGGGAAGATGTATTTGGGGTAAGTTCAAAACCTTTTGATAATAATAAACGTGTGGCTCAAACTACTAAAACATTTTCCTGTCGTCGCTGTGGAACAACTCATGGCCCTCGGGAATGTCCTGCTTTTGGAGAAAAGTGTTCCAAGTGCAAATTTCGTGGTCACTTTGCAAAATGTTGTCCAAACAAACCAAAGGAGGTAAAAGAGATTAAGGAAGTTGACTCAGACGATTCGATTGATTAAAAAAAAAAGGACATTTAGGTGAAGTAAACTTTAAGCAGGGTGAATGTCCAAGTGTAGTGGTAAAGGTAAATAGTCAACCAGTAGAGTTTAAGATGGACTCTGGGGCAGACGTTTCTGTTATGGGAAGTACACTTGCACTTGACCTCAAACTTGTAATCCGTCCAACCCATAAAGTTCTTTTTGGGCCGGGCCAGACTAAATTGACTGTTGTGGGTGTCTGTTCAGCTGAAATTATGTATGGCAATAAGCAAATATTAGAAGACATATATGTCTTGCCGTCCCAAAGTACACCTCTAATGAGTAGAAATGCATTGTTGAAACTGGATGTTACTTACGTTTAACGTTAATCTTGTAGATGGCGAATCACTCCAGAGTCAATATCCAAAAGTGTTTGAGGGCATGGGTAGAATGAATCATCCATACAAGATTAGGCTGCACGAAGATGCAAAACCTTATGCTGTTATGTCACCGAGGAGGGTGGCTTTCTCACTTCACAAACAGGTTAAATATGAATTGGACAGGATGCTTGCTGATGGTGTAATAGAACCAGTAACTGAACCTACTGACTGGTGTTCTCCCGTAGTAGTGGTTCCAAGGAGTGATGGTAGAATTAGACTCTGTGTTGATTACACAAAATTGAAACAACATGTGAAAAGAGAATTGTTGCATCATCAGTGGATGAGTCTCTAGCTAAGTTGGAAGGAGGTAAGCTTTTCACTAAGTTGGATGCCGCCAATGGATTCTGGCAGGTTCCACTTCACAGTGATTCATTTAAACTCACCACGTTCATTACACCATTCGGGCGATATTTCTTCAAGAGACTTCCGTTTGGAATCTGTTCTGGACCGGAGGTTTTCCAATTCCGACTGAGTCAAATGCTTTCAGATATCCCAGGCGTAGTGAATCAAGCGGATGATATCTTGATAATGGGGAAGACAGAAGCAGAACATGACAGCAGAGTCAAACTGGTACTACAGAGACTCTCAGAAAATGGTATCACGTTAAACAAAAACAAATGTAAGTTTGGAGTAGAAAGTGTGATTTTCCTCGGACACGTTGTCTCATCGCAGGGAGTCAGTATTGACCCAGAGAAGACTAAAGCTATTCTGGCCATGAAAAGCCCCCAGAGTATAACGGAGGTTCGACAGTTTTTGGGAATGATAAACCAATTAATAAAGTTCGTTCCTCGTCTTGCTGAAAAAACAGCACCAATCAGAAGTCTCCTTAAAAAAGGAGTTGAATGGACTTGGGATGAGCCTCAAGAACAAGCTTTTAAGGAATTGAAGAAGGTTGTAGCTAATGATACTGTATTGGCCAACTACAACAGAGAAGCGAAAACCCGTGTAATGGCAGATTCGTCATCTTATGGTTTAGGGGCAGTGATCGAGCAGTTTGATGGAAAGGATTGGCGTCCATTAGCATTTGCATCGAGGACATTAACAGAAACAGAGTCAAGATATGCTACCATTGAAAAAGAAGCTCTCGGCTTAACTTGGGCTTGCGAAAGATTTTCTAGCTTTATTCTTGGTAAAAGGTTCCAGCTTTACACAGATCATAAGCCTCTGACTGAGATAATGGGTTCAAAGCCGATCTCTGATCTTTCTTCTCGGCTGCAACGTTTTCGTATGAGATTGCAAAATTTCGACTACGAAGTTGTTCACATCGCGGGGAAAGAAAATGTAACTGCAGATTTACTATCAAGAAGCCCTGAAAGTTCACCAATGGATCGGGAGAATGAGGTTATCGAGAATCTGGAGGAAGAAATGTTTGTAAGAAGCATAATTGATGCATTGCCTTCTTCTGATAAACGGCTGTTGGAAATTAAGAATGCCCAACATGAAGACCCGGAAGGACAGGAGCTCTTAAAATGCACCCAAGAGAATACATGGCGGAAAAATTCGGTATTCTGGAAGTATCGCAATGAACTCGCTTTGGAAGATGGATTAATTGTTAAGGGAAGGAGGATGTTCATTCCAAAGGCCTTGAGAAAAGAAATCTTATCAAGATTACATGAGGGACATTTGGTATAGTGAAATGTCGGCGGCGTGCTCAAGAATCTGTTTGGTGGCCAGGCTGTTCAACAGAAATTAGTACTAGAGTGGAAAATTGTCCAACATGTATAGAACACAGACTACAGCGAAAGGAGCCTCTGATGTCTACACAGCTTCCTCAAGAGCCTTGGACCCATTTACGTGCAGATATTTTGAAATGTAACCAAAACTGGTATTTGGTAATACAAGATTATTTCTCACGATTTTTAGAGCTCATCGAACTCAATACTTTGACTTCAGCGGCAGTTATTGGAAGGATGAAAAACATTTTTGCACGACACGGGATCCCTCTAGAAATTCGTACAGATGGAGGTACTCAGTTTAATTCTGACGAGTTCAAAGGTTTCGCAAAAGAGTACGGATTTAGAGCTGTAACTAGTAGTCCACACTTTCCTCAATCCAATGGAGAAGCTGAAAACGCTGTATCTATAGCCAAGAGGATTCTACTAAAGTGTCCGGATCCCAATCTTGGTCTATTGGCTTACAGGACCACCAAATTGGAATCGGGGTTATCACCTGCAGAGCTGCTGTATGGTAGAAAACTAAGAACAACTTTACCTTCTCTCAACGACTTTCAAGTGGTTGGAAAAGATGAAATAGAATCCTTTCGAAACTGTGACAAGAAAATAAGAGACAGAGTCAAGAAAAACTTTGACAACAGAAGAGGCGTCAAAGAACTTCCACCTTTAGCTTTAGGAGAGAGAGTCTGGGTTAAAGATATAAGTGCGAAAGGAACCATAAGAACAACAACCAATCTACCTCGATCCTACATAATATCATTGAGTAATGGGAATGATGTAAGACGAAACAGATGGCATCTTATTCCCCTACCATGAAAAGAGAATGATGATTCTGACGATGTCTACCGTGGAAGGAGGGTGCAGCCAAACCACAATGATGGAATAAGAAGATCGAGCAGAACTATCAGACCACCAATAAGATATGAGTAAATATAATGAGGAAGGGGAGATGTTGTGTCATTCATATGCCTTTGCATTTAACATATGTTTTATAATTTAGTTTGTTGTTGTGGTGATGATGACTCTTGTTGAATAATAAACACATTCTTTACTTGCAGCATTTATTAGTATTTTATATTATCTTACAGATATCAAAAAAAGTTAAATGGTAAGTGCCTTGGATTTTTTATTTAAAAAATTGTAGTCAAGTCAAAAAAATTATTTTATCCGCCATTTTTCCAATATGGCCGCCAACTTTGATTTTCTTATGGAACACCCTGTATTTTATGATGTATTCTGGTAGAAAATGTAATTTTAAGACGGTTTTTTTCTTGTGATTTTTTTTATAAACCTAACCGTTTCAAAGATAATATGTAATGGTTAAAGTTTTGAAATTTCTGCATGAGAAAGAGTTTCGATGCCAGCTGTTTTATTCGAAAACCATTCAAAATTTCACAACTTAAACCATTATTATCTTTGAAACGGTTAGGTTTATAAAAAAAATCACAAGAATAAAATTGGTGTTCTATAAGAAAAATCAAAGTTGGCGGCCATATTGGAAAAATGGCGGCTAAAATAATTTTTTCGACTTTACTACAATTTTTTAAATAAAAAGTCCAAGGCACTTACCATTTAACTTTTTTTGATATCTCTTATGGTTTTCGAATAAAACGGCTGGCACACTTATATCAATCACCCTGTATAGTTTGCACATCAACAATATTTCTTTGGTAAACATGTATTAATTTTTTTGTCAAGAAATAGTTCTCTTTTGGTACGGTCAGTTTAAAAATTTAGAATGTTTAAGGGGAAGGTTTCCTGTGTTCCCCCACAACATTTTTTAGATTAATCGATGTATCAGCTATCAGCCGTCAACTGTTATTTCAAAGGTAGAGGTGGAGGGGATACAATCTATTCCCCTCAAACCGTCTAAATTTTGTGAATGAAGTATATAGTATGTTTTTTCAAAGCTGTGTTAAAACCCTTGGTGAGGTTAGACTTATTGGAGTGAAAATATAAACATACGATTGTTATCTTTTGAGAAAATTCACAACGAAAGGGGCTTAAATGAGTAACAAACTGGAAGTCTAGCGTTTACCTTTTAATCCACAGTGGTAACTCATCTCCATTCATACTTGGCTTAAAATACCTACTTTGTATGGTCGCCATTTCATCGAAAAGTATAAAGTATTAAGTGGTCATCCAATTTCTGTGGTTGTAAGATGTAGACGTACAATAGTACAAATTTCAGATAAAAGGAGCAACATGTGATACGTTAAGCGAGATCTTGTTTATACAAGTTGTTATAGGCGTAAAGTTGTGTTTGAGGTCTACTGGTAGTCACACCTCATCTGTTGTATTAATAATGAAAGGCTGGGAAGATGATTAATAAGCTTGAGCATCTAGGAGTTATTTATGTACTGTACACTATTAATAGACCTGTCAGTTGATTTTCTCCCGTAACTAAATTCAAGGTGAAACAATTTAAAACTTACAAGCAAATAATACAATGACACATTTCAGTTTCTGTAACTATTTTAATTTTGTATTAGATTCATATACAAAAAAATATTTTGGTTCAAGTTGGTTCATGTAGCCTGGTTATTATTTAGATACATGATTAAACTATGAGAGAAAACCCAGACATTTTGTGGTAATGTATGTTTGTTTGATGCTGGTTTTTAGTAAGGACTTCACAACAATCACAGTACATGAGGACGAATATCTGTCCTGACAACTTGAAAGTTATTACACATCAGGCCATTACTGAAATCACAAGTCCTCAAAGGTCTTTCCTGCTCTTTAAGACAACATTTACTATTTATTCTAACAATTTTTATAAATGTTCCAGAGGAGGAACAGATGAGTAACGTGCAGGTGGTGAGGAGGGTGATGAACGTGTCGATAGAGCGAGACAGCAACGGGAGTCTCGGGATCACACTCCGGGGAGGAGCTCATCCTGACCCGGCACTCTCCCGACCTCTCACTATCACACAGGTCAAACCCGGGGGACCTGCAGACAGGTGACCGTGAAAATGGGGTTCATAAACTAATGGACACATTTAAGATATAATTGACAATGGAAGTACAGTAGATATCTCTTCTATGAGCTTGACAAGTTAATTTTGAAAATGACATTAGTGAAATAGAGTAATCTAACAGAATTTAGAATGTACTGTTATTAAATGTTATTCAACATTAGCCCATATTTGGAGCTAGTAGTAACAGTGATTATATTTATATTTTTTTTTATTACTCTGACAAAAAAAAATCTGTCTAGTTGTGTTTGGATATTGTGTTATTTTGATTTTTCACTGCAGGGGTTCCATTTGTGCTGTTTCTTCCTCATATTTTTTTTGGTGAGAACCAAATTGAAGGTCTTTATATAGAATTTTTTGCTATCATTAATCACTTAAAAATGCAAAAAATAAAATAGTTGGTGTCGTAGAGTACACTAGTAAAACCTACATTAATTGGTAATAAATTATAACGTTTATTACCAATTGCAGTGAAACTCAAGCATAGCTTGATCCTAAGGTATATTTTAACTCAAATAATAATAATTATGAATGTGGTATGTAGTGCAGTAGAAATAATCGAAAATATAGCTTAAGGTGGAACTAATTGCAACAGAAATGATTTTTGCTGTGAATGGTAGGTAGTATGCTTCTAATCAACATACTAAAAATATACATCCGTACTGTGGCGCAAAATATGTTTTTTGGCCACCATCTTAAAAAAGTGTCAAAAATTTAATATTAGTAAAAATAACTTTTTGGGTATCAAATTATAGGAAATGTAATGCTGAAAAATGTTATAATAGTAAGCACTATTTAGAAATACGATTGTAGTACAAAATACCCCCGCCACAGCAAACCTGCAGACTAAACGAATTTCCATTTGTCTTAATTGATTTTCATTTAAATCTAGTAATTCAGTTTTAAAAATATTTGTACAACTAAATCTATAGAGTTCTACTGGACTGATTTTATTAACTAATGGGTCATTGGAAAGCAATTCGTGTAGATTTTCAAATAATTATGAAAGTATGATTTTTTTAGATTTGCTAGGTGAAACCCGTCAACGTCGACAATTAGCCTAGGTACTGTTGAGGTTGCAAGCAAGATCTTTTTAACTATAAATCGATGATAGATAACTACATTTTTAAACAATTTGGGTCGTATATGTTTTAGCAGTGTGCTTTAGGTACGTCCGATCTCAATAATCAATAATTCCAATGGAATCTGGTATTTCACTGAATATTTTTAGATAAAAACATATAGGATAATGTAACTGCTAGAATACATTTTTAATTGAAGTAAAAATTGTGAAAAAAATCCAATTTAATTGTTTTTGTAGGGTAATACATTTGATGGATTAATGATGACAAATATGTGCTTGCTTAGCTTTGAGACCAAAATTATAAAAATCGGTCCGGTAGAAGAGCCAAACGAACTCGAAAAAAACAAATTTAACTCCCGTAAGTAATGTACAGGGAGGCAGTTTGTGCATAACTCAAAATATACGTCCAAATGAGTGCTGATGCTTAATAGCAAATCTATGGTGCGTCCATAGCTTTAGTTTAAAGCCGGATTTACACTATGTAGCAAAACCTGCTATATAACTTTTGCTATATAACATTGCTTTATAACTTTTGCTGTATGAAAAATTTACAAACAATTTTAGTGATTCTGGTGCTCGTGCTATATGTTATAATATGTAGTACAACCTCATTCGCATTCCGTATCGAAATGTGCGCTGAGGAGACATTGTTCGTGGCAGCTATCGTGGTGATCTTGGAAGTCAGAGAGAGAGAGAGAGACAGACGGGAGCGAAGATTTTAGCAAGTTTTAGGTTTGACCGCTTCTTGCTTCGAGAAATAAGTACAGTGTAACAGATTTATTACGGGACCTTAATGATGATGAATACGCTGACAATCCATAATTAAAACGCTAGATAAGGTGACGGTAACTTCAAAAACGTTTTACGTATGATCACAACGCCGGTTGTCCACGGAACAGTTCAATTATGTTTATAATATCATCCCGATCCTAGGCACTGTCACTTTCCGTTTCCAGTCCTTCCATTGTAAACAAAGATCGCTGAGCAAAACCGTTCGCACCCAGGAGGCTATAACTGTGAACTGTGTGCACTAAATGCTACGTATAGCAGATGCTAGATGAAAAATATATGTATATCATTTATACATATAGCAATGTTGGATGTAGCACGTATTTCTTTTGATATTTACCGACTCCTGATGGATAGCACAATTTTAGCTCTACAGTAGAGTCCCGCAAACTCGGCGTAATGTGGACTGGAAGGGTGCCGAGTTTGTGAAATGCCGGGTTATTGAGAACTAGGGTTAAAAATAAGGACAATACAATTTTTGAGCTTTTTAACCGCTTTTTTTAATTAGATTTATATTACAAGTCAGTATTAAGTCATCAAATATAGTACAACAAATCCTTAGTACGAGTTGCAAATGATTATACTTGAGCTGGCTTGTGTCCATGTTTAACTCGGACTCAAAAAATCACTAATTATCTGACCAGGTGATTGCCGAGTTATCCAGACTGCCGGGTTATCGAGTGCCGAGTTTGCGGGACTCTACTGTATATAGCAGGATCTGCTACATATAAGTTAGCAGTGTTATATAGCACTTTTGGAAAGTTACTTTTTCTACTTCTAGCAAATGTTATATAAACTTTGCTAGATGTTACACAAATCTGCTATGTGGCAGGTTTAGCTACATAGTGTAAACCCGGATTAAGGCAAAAATTATGAAAATCGGTCTAGTAGAAGAGCTCCGACTCGGAAAAGAAAAACCAATTATTTTTATAGATGGCAATAATTGGTTTACCAGTATGCATAATCTAATCATACGAAAAATGAGTTAATAATTTAACAGCTTATTTTTTTATTGTTATTTAATTGATTTTTCTTTGATTAAATATTGTTGTTAACAATTTGCATTTGTTTTTAAAGTGTGTTTCTTATGTTAAGTGCGTGATTATAATGTTATAAGCTTTAATCTGTACCAAGTATTAGTGAGCAAAGTGGTGTATGGATTTCATAACTATTATTTTACTAGAGACCGTTGTATTTAACCACAATGGGCTCTGTTGCTAGTCTATTAAATAAATAACATTAGGTTTAACGAAACGAGTACCAAGGTTTGCTGCTACAAGGAAACTAATTAAGTGTGTTTTTTTTTGTAAAATATTAATTGTTTATTATAAAATAAATAAATCTGCAAAGTTTTATCAAAATATATCCATAAACAAGGAAACTACAACTTTTTACCATATTCTCCATAAGAATAGCATGGGGATTTTAAATTTCCAACTTTTAGAATTTTCCCCGTTACCAATAACCGTACAAAAACCCTTTAATATACTTAACTATTTGTTTTTTAAGCTCTTTAAAAAGGTCTAGAAAGAAATTGGGAAATGTTACGTTTTAAGGGTCAAAAATGAAAAAAAAACACAAATTTTAAAAGTATAAAATAACTTATAAATAAAAAACTTTTCAAATGCCACGTTTTTAAACGCACCTTTTTTTGCCCATAGTGCATCACTGTTAACAGTATATTTTAAATTCAACCATTATATTCTTTTCCCGCATGAAATTTTCTATAATTTGATACCAAGCCAGATTTTTTAACAATAATTTAAAATTTTACACTTTTTTTAAATGGCGGCCAAAAAACCGTATTTTGCGTAACAGTACAAATGTATATTTTTAGTATGTTTTATATAAGTGTATTACCTACCATTTCTAACTGGAATAATTTATGTTGCAATTAGTTCCACCTCAAACACTATTTCTACTGTACTAATGAGGAAAATGGTTTTTGTAGTTTTGTAACAAAACTATGTTAAGGTGGTTTGTATTAAAAAATTATTGATTTGAAAGATACTAGATTGGCAAAAGAACACGATTTAATAGAGATCAAGGAAGAAGAAATAAAGTTTAACTATGTTAGTTAAAAACATTTTTAAATTTAATTTTTGATGTGGAAATTTATATTTTTGTAATTTTGCAGACCAACACACTTTGATACTGTCTTAGTAAAACTACATACATTACATATACATTTTTTACCCAAATATGCCTAATGAAAATGTCTATTGCAGTGAAGGCTCTATTAAAGTAGGAGACAGACTGATCTCTGTGGATGGTCATACGCTGAGCTCCGTGTCATTGTCAGAGGCGCAAAACCGACTCAGAGCAACTACAAGGTAAACACAATCTTTTGATACTCAAACTATTTTTGAACACATTTGATCAGATTTAAAATTCTGAAACCAAAGATAGTTTCTGAGTTCTATATAATATTTTTTGGTATTGTTATAGTATCTTTACAAACAACCAATTGCTTGTGTACACTACCTAAATAGTAAAGAGTAAAACCAAAACTCTAAAATATTTTGTGTTTCCAGTCCCATCAGCTTGCTATGTGTGGAGTACGATGTGAATGTAATGAGTCACGTCCGGGCAGCACAGGGTCCGCTACTGGTGGAGATAGAAGGACCACACTGCCACAACTTGGGGATCGAACTAGTCAACACTCCAGACAACAATGCGGTTGTCATAGGCCACGTCAAGGCTGGCAGTATTGCTGAACGGTTGGTAGAAAGCTTAAGTAGAAGGGAGACAAAGAGAAGATAACTGCTTGATGATTACACGTGTTGGTTTTGGATACTATAAGTAGTGATTGCATATTGTAAAATCTAAATCATGATCTTGATGTCCATTGAATGTTTGACATGTTGTGAGGTTGAGGGAAAGTTTTCCTATTTGGTTACATTACCAAAGGACAAACAGATGGATTAAATTGGTTTTGAATGGTTTATAATTCAGCAAAACACAGAAGATGCTTTTGTTGTCTTTTGCCAATGTAATATCACTGATATGACAAATGATGGCAACATGGTCTCATGACTTTCTGGTGAGTGCATATTGTTCAATAGTAACAACTATTTTCATTATAAATCTAGTTGCTGAAAATAGTCTAAAACATTTTAAAATTAAAACAAAATCTGACTGACACTGACTATTATAAAATGCTACTGAACAAATAGTTATTTGGTTTATTCACAAATTATCCAAAAAGAATTTAGCATTTTCACCATCATCATATAATTAATTAATAACATTGTTGGTGTCAGTATTCCAAAATGGGTTTTTCCTAAAGGATGGGGAGGTCTTTTGAGGAGGAATCTCTTAAGGAGAAAGACTTATTGATCAGAGAGTAATGTGTTTTTGTTTGGAATATTTAGATGATTCTAGATTCAAGTTCCCTCTGTTCCCCACACAAATTCCTTGATAATTGTTGTGACTTTTCCAGTTGTGGCGCATTGCTACCAGGAGATCAGATTCTGGCAGTCAATGACATTTGTGTAGAAGACACTAAGATGACAGCTGAAGACGTTAATCAGCTGTTGTGGACTGGCAGCTCTTGTGTTCTACAAATACTGCCTTCCTCATCCTCGTCGTACAGAGGTGAGGTTTTACCTTGGGTAATCTCTTGTTTAATAAGTTTACCTGGCAAATGTAAAATTGTCGGTTCTGTCCTGATTACTTGAAACTAGACCCAGTTATCCTTTATTGCAAGACATGTAATAAATGGTCCTAGCCATGGGTGACACAAAATTTAGGATTGAGGTGGTATTGGATGTAGGTGCAGGTAAGGGAAAGTTTACTTACAAGCCTAACTACTGTGTCGCAGCTCAAAAACCTTGAAGCTCCAAGCCAAACTACTGTGTCGCAGCACAAAAACGTTAGTTCATCATTACACAATGGGCTGACTATACTATAGTCCGTTCATAAAATTCAGGCGGTTTGAGGGGAAGTTCCCCTCCACTTTTTTGCCTAATATATGAATCAGCGCCGACTGACACTTTGGCAAACCTCAGTTGTAGGGTTATTATTTTAAAGGTAGGATCAAGTGGAGGGGAAAACCGCCTACATTTTGTAAATGGAGTATATCCTAAACGTGACTTTTTAAGAAGCCAAATGTGCTAGATTCTACTACACCATCCAGTGTGTCCTCTTGTGCAGGAAATTATTAAGGACTCGTGTATTTGGAGGCTTAAGATCAAAAATGTAAATGTTTATGTTTTTTTTCAGGTTATCCCCAACCTTTGTACAGCTGTCCGAGTCCAAGTCAGAGCTCAAAACATTCAAGAGATATCCATAATGTTGAAAATATAGCTTTATTAAGTAAGACCCCCTCACCAATCATGAAAAAATTGCAATTTTCCAATTCTTCACTTAATGAAACAGGTTAGTTACTTAACTTACATTGTTGTTTTGATAAATATTTAGCAATAAGATGATTATTACTAAAATATCACTTAAAATTACATACGGTGACTCCAAAATAAACTGGCACCTAAGTTAGATCTATTTCAATTTCATTTATAAGTGGTTGAAGTTCATTTTAAAAGCAGAAAGTTTAAACATTTTTAATTACTTTCAGAGGTTGAGGCGACTAGTGGAGGGGTTTACCAACGGAAGAACTTATCAATATCGTTAAACTGTGATGCTCAAAATAGGTTTGGTATTACTCTTGGACCTGACCCCAAGTTGGGGACCAACATTATTGCGATTGAGCCAAGAAGTCCAGCGGAAAGGTTAGTATTAGTAATGTATTTCTTACTAGTTTTGATAAAAAAATGTTAAACTCACATTTTGTTTATGAATTGGGAATGAAATTTAAAGACAAATCATGCAAGAAAGGTTTTAAAACATAACTTACAGTTCTGCGACTTTGAACTACAAGGGAATGAGTTTGTTTTAAATTATATCAAGATGTTTACACAAAATTAACCTAATTTTAATTGCTTCAGGTAAAATTAACTCTGCAGGTACTCTCTTATTATCATCACAAAACAAGTGGCGAAATACGTTTTACAATATTTTGTACTCATTATCTATTTAACATGTTCCCATTAACCCACCCCTCTGTATCTGAGGGCTGTGTATAGTTGGTAGCTAATGAGTTAAGCTTGATGGCAATTACTGATGAATAACGCTACCGGTATTATATTCATAGGTACTTTAAAAAAAAGAAAAGTAGTTAACTTTATCTAATTAGCTCTTGATGGATTTCCAGTAGAAGAAACGATTTGTAAACGAGCAAAGGTATGAAGGAAAGTACTTAAAAACATAATCTTAATCTTGAATTCGAAGTTGACTTTCCACTTAATTTTTTTCTGTAAGTTAATTCATGGTTTGTAAAAGTTAAAACTAAATGTGAATTAATTAGTTTATAATCAATTACACAAATTCTGAACAACATAACATTCCTGCAACAAACTTATTTACAATGTATGAATGGAAAGGCTTCCATAGTCAAACTTAACCACAAAATATTAACTAAGTAAAATAAATAAATAAGGTCTTTATTCATGAGAGAATTTCAGTTACAAAACTGTTTTACAAATTGACTCAAGTCAGGACTTAAACTAAACCAAAATTCTTAACACTACAAAACCAAATAAGACTATAATTACAAATTCTTCAGGTTATTCTTAACATTTTTGTAAGACAGTGATTTTATTGTGCAAGGAAGTGCACTGATTTTAGTGTACTGAGCCGGCCCAAAGTAAATAAAACCCCTTTTATCAGCATAAAAAACAACCCTTGGTATGTGATGCAACAAGTCGTTTCTAGTTCTCTGCTCTCTTACGGCCGACCTTACTTTCAGTTTTTATATTGTCGTCTTTAGGGAAAACCCATCTCACATCGCCAGTAGCTTTAGGTGATGTTTGGCCTCATTATAAAATAGCCATCTTCAGATGATTACTCTTCAGGCAGTCCTACTTATCTGCAATATGTCATGGTTTTACTTCTTAGACCACGATGTTATAGCTATTATTTCAAAGTAATACTTAAAGTTGTGTTGCAGATGTGGCAGTCTACAGGTAGGGGACCGTGTTGTTGCTATCAACGGCAACTCACCCCCTCCACTCGCCACACCTCAGACTCTCGAGTCCGTCATGCAGATGCCGTCCGTAACACTTACCACGGAATTCGCCATCGCACAAACCGTCATGCCTACTTCAGGAATCTTCACAGTCAAACTGGCGAATAACAAAGTCGCTGGTCTTGGAATCACCATATCAGGTAAGAGGAATTTAATACTGTATGGAAAAAATCTATTGCAAACTTATAAAAAATTTAATTTGATTTTGTTTTGGCAGCTGTATTGTGAACAAAAACATATTTTAAGTTGTCCCCATGGTAAGGCCTGGGGGTAAGGGCTTTTTTACTTACATTACTATAAGTAAAAAGTGACTCTTTTGGTTTTTGATCCTTAGAAGCGAAAAACTCTTGTTTTCTTAAACCACATATATGTCCTTCCATAAGCATATAGACAAAAATTAGTTAATTTGAAGTTGAGGTAATGAGGAGGAATGTGTGTGTCAGTTTCTGATACCATTTCTGTAAAATGTACAAATTGATAGTCATTTAAGGCATATGAAGATGTAAAATGCTTTTATTGGTATTCATGATACCTGTACAATCACCAAGATTTAACTTTTTAATTTATTCCTCATTATTTGAATCCCTTTTGTTGTTATCATATACAACAATATCAGTAGGTGATATTTCATAACGGTTGTCCTGTTTGGAAGACAAACAGCTTTCTTTGATATCAACTATCCTTACTCGTCAGATCATTCCTTCTTTTAGGTTGAGTCAACATCATGGGGAAAAAAATTAAAAAAGAATTTACTTCTAAGAGTTATTGTTCAGAAAAGAATTTCCGAAATTACAACTGAAAGTTTCAAGAGCTACATCATTACTTTCTGCAGGATGCAACCTCTACCGAGGATCAATGACAATCTCTAACATCCGGCCAGGCTCGGTGGCTCATCGCTGCGGAACGCTGAGTCCCGGAGACAGGATCCTCTCCGTCAACAACCACAGCCTTGCAGATCTCAGTCCTGACCAGGCGGTGGCGATACTACACTCCACTCAGGACATCGTCACTCTGGTGGTCAACAAGGGAACTGATGGTATGACTGATGGTCTATTTTGTGTGTTTGTACACATTTGTTACCATCTAACATCGACCTTTTGTTACATAGCATCATGAATTGGTAGCCCAATGACAATAATTGCATCTTGGATCAGAATGCATGATAAGTTACCTTCACTTGTGATCGAACGTTTAGATTAAAAAGGGGAGAACTAATACCACTTTGACCATAGACAAGACTCAGTTAATAATTGTGTGAATTTACTAAATCACGTAAATTATCAGACTTAGTTTGCAGAGACTACATTTTTAAAATATATAAAGACCTGTTTAAAAAAAAAATCCAATAAAGGATGAGTGGAGGTTGGCTTTGAATGAAATGTTTATTTGTCTAGCTCAAATGTTTGCTACAGATTACAGAGCAGCCACATAGAATACGTAAAAAAAGGGAGTGTACAAAGAAAGATTTGCAAATTTTCATTGAATAGCAAAATTTTTTAGCTTGAAATCATCAAAGTATTAAAACAGGTTTGTTTAATACATTTTTCAAATCATTATAATAAGATGTATTTACCAAAGCCAGTATGCTGATGAGTCATTGCATTACAAAAACAAGTATTGTTATATTTTTGTAAAAACACCCTCTTTTTACTGTGAGACGGTTTTTGAATTTTTTGATTTTGTATGTTAGAAACATTTCATGCCAAACAGATGATTGTTCCTATGATAATTTTCTAGTTTAATCTGCTTTTTCCAATCACTATTTGTTGTAGATAAAAACTTGTTTAAATTCACTTCCTCTAAGAGTTTTGCTTGTAGGAACTTGTTTCTAATTTTCGTGTATATTTTGTAGACTACTCCCAGGAGAGTTACAGTTCCATTCACACGGTGGAGTTTTGCCGCAATGGAGGGCCTCTTGGTATCACCATCGCAGGCTCGGAAGATCCCGGTGAACCTATCATCATCTCAGCTCTTACCCCGGGGGGATTAGCCGAGCAGTCGCAAGCCTTACAGGTGTGTGGAATACTTTGATGCTGCTGATCAAATGTTCTTAAACTCCAGAGAATCAAAGAATCTTTAGAAACGGAATACTCTTGATTCTCTCACTAGTTAGCAGGTGACAGACAGATTTTGCTACGGTACTTTATTTTTTTTAACACATTTATTTGAAATATTAAAAACAAATCATCAAATACAAAGCTTTTACTTGATATCTGAACATTCCTTCCAGATAGGAGATGAGTTACTGGCCATAGACAGCAGAAGTCTTGGGCAAGAGCCGTTGTCCACTGCTATATACCTACTGCAGAGCTCCAACGATCGGGTCATACTCTGCGTTGGTAGGAAAACTCCCACTATTAATGGTAAATAGATCATTTTTTTAAATATATACGTATATTAAGTCTCATCTGCCCAGTCAACTTCAACACATTCTCTACTAAAAACATATAGGCAACTTTGTATAGACTGCCAGTGATAAACATAATTCTGTACCATTATGTTCAACTTGGAAATATCCAAATTTGATGCCAAATTATGATGTGTCAAAGTCACAATAATCTCTTTGAAAGTACAAATACTTTAAAACAAAAAGGGCCATTTTGATATCAAAATAATTGTGACAGTTGTGCTGATGATAATTTGGTTAAATATCGTGAAAACGTGGTCATAATCATCTTGCAAAATGAACTAATTTATTTTCAAGCCCTCAGATTCAGTAACCAGGTAATGTTAAGCTGTCATGATATTGATGAGTGTGATAAGGAGTGACATGCAGCTTTGTTACTGATTCAAGATCTGCTTTTACTTGAGCCAGGACCATTATTGATTAGAAGTCCAAAGATCAAGGACAGCATCATTTTTCAACCATAAAAAGTTACTATTTTACACATCATTGTTGTTTACTTTTGCAGCCAATGTGGTGAGGGAGGACCTGATGGGTTACTCCAGTCCGGAGATTCCTTCAGTAGATTCCGCTGTGGAGTCTTGGGACAGTCTGCATGAGCAAAGTCCACCTTCTGTGCCTCACTACTACAAGTCAGGTAAAATTACTACTGATGAGTCACGATCATAACATAAACAATCACAGTTCTATTTCAACAACCACTTGGTTTAGGTATAAAGAGTGTAATCAATCATGTTTGTAAATCAGTGGTTGGCACAACGTTTTGTTAAATCATAAGTGTATATTAGCATACTTCCAAATTTTGTCTGTGTTATAGTAATGTGCCATATATTTTTAGTTTGAATTTGAATAGTAGGTGCACACACACAATAAGTGTGATTTGGATTAAGTTGATACCTTTAAATATTTGAGCATCATTATGCAATATTTATAGACACAAATTACCTAATTAATTTTGATTCACTTGCACTTGACTCATTACATAAATACCATTTAATGTATTTACAAAGAACACAATTTACATAAACTATAAAGGCTTCTTTGGTCAAAGTAGTCTTCCGATCTTGGTCGTCAAAAGTTGACTGTGTGGAGGAATTAACAAAAGAAAAATCTGTATTTTTCTTCAGCCAGTGCCGAGGTTTTGGATGTATTTACAGCCAAAGACAAAGATTCAACCATATTTATATAAAGAACCCCAAATTAAATTTTCTTGTAAAAAAACTATTATAGACTTGATAGAACATTTAATCACTGACCAAATAATATTATTTGTAAGACTAGATTACTTACGTCAATAGCTCATTGAATTTCATTTCATGTTTCAGTACATGTTTCGACACATTGTCATCTTCAGCTGAGTACTAGTGAAGTTTTTATTCACCATATGGTTTCGTCAATGTTCAATTAAATAAACACGTAACACGTAACACAAATACGACACGACACGGAACATATACATTTACAAAACACGTAAAGCTTTAGACATGCAGGCCTGCTCGAACAAAACACACGGTCATGCCGCGGGTCGGGGACAGACTGACTATGACTATTTGTTTATCCAGGCTTATCATTGTTATCACGGAGGCAGTGGACAGCTGTTTCTTTGGTAGGAATGATAGAATTGAATATCGAGTTGGAGATAAAATTTAGTTTTTCATTCAGAACAAATTCATTTTCGTCGTTATTTTTATGAGCTCTGTATATTTCGTATTCCTCCAACGTGTCCAATTTTCTGCCCTTTTCACAAATGTGGAGTATTTTTAGACTGTCTTCTATTGTTCCGAATGAGTGGTTATTGTCGATTATATGTTGGCTGAATGCTGATTTCTGTTTGTTCGTCCTAGGGTTTGGTCTGTGTTCTTTAAATCGAGTGTTAAACCCGCGACCAGTTTGATCGTAAAGTAAGGTGTTAAACCGACTGGTCGCGGGTTTAACACACGATTTAAAGAACACAGACCAAACCCTAGGACGAACAAACAGAAATCAGCATTCAGCCAACATATAAGCGACAATAACCACTCATTCGGAACAATAGAAGACAGTCTAGAAATACTCCACATTTGTGAAAAGGGCAGAAAATTGGACACGTTGGAGGAATACGAAATATACAGAGCTCATAAAAATAACGACGAAAATGAATTTGTTCTGAATGAAAAACTAAATTTTATCTCCAACTCGATATTCAATTCTATCATTCCTACCAAAGAAACAGCTGTCCACTGCCTCCGTGATAACAATGATAAGCCTGGATAAACAAATAGTCATAGTCAGTCTGTCCCCGACCCGCGGCGTGACCGTGTGTTTTGTTCGAGCAGGCCTGCATGTCTAAAGCTTTACGTGTTGTAAATGTATATGTTCCGTGTCGTGTCGTATTTGTGTTACGTGTTACGTGTTTATTTAATTGAACATTGACGAAACCATATGGTGAATAAAAACTTCACTAGTACTCAGCTGAAGATGACAATGTGTCGAAACATGTACTGAAACATGAAATGAAATTCAATGAGCTATTGACGTAAGTAATCTAGTCTTACAAATAATATCTACAGCTCAGGGGCTTAACAATGAATTTAAACAAATAATATTATTAATCCATCTCATTAATTTATCTCTATCTTGGCATTTCAGTTTTACCATTATAAATAGTGTTTAAATCACCCTTTATAATGGGAAAGGGCATCCCATCCTATTTAAGGTTGTTTCGCTAAAATACTACTCGATGGTTTCAGAAAGCGCTACTGTTCGGAGGAAACAACCGCTCCAGTCTTGCGACAGTCCAATCCTGACATGTAATGCAGCCTGGACTTCCAATAACAAGGGTCTTCACAGCACCAACAGCCTTAACACTGTGCAATCTGGTAAGATACTTCAGTCTACACTCATCTTGCATTCATCAGGCTTAAAACTTCACTTAGGTGGGTGCTGGTGTTTCAAAAGTAATGATATGCAACTTGGGCCTTAAAAAATTATCCTGCCTGAAGAAACAGCTGTTAGTCAGCAGTAAAAAGTTTAACATAGCATCTCACACCATTCTACTATCATTTCACCCATACTTAGGTTAAAATATGAATCATTGTGTCCCTGCATCATTAAAAAGACACTCTTATGGTCAACTTTACAAGGTCAACTTGGCAAGGTCTGTACTGAAAGATGAGTACAGAAAATTAAGAGCGGCAACTATTTTTGGGGAAACATTAAAACGAGTAAAATACATAATTTCATTCATGTATTCACGTCACCTCATCTTTTCAAACATTTAAATATTCTTTTTTAATATTCACAGATGCAGACACATGCTCATCATTCAGACTGTCAGAGTCAGTCCTGAACGACTACACAGGTCAGCTGATGGTCCATCAAAAATTTGCCCCTCCCTCTCCCCCTTGTCCTCTGCAGGTCAACTACCAACATCGAAACAACACTCTTCCCAACCATCGGCGCAGCTCTAGTATTGGGTGAGTGTTATTCTTATGCCGGTTTATTTTTCATGATAGTAGTAGCTATTAGCTTTGACTATTAAGTTACTTCATAAAATAGCTAAAAAGATAATAGAAGTGAAACCTGCACCATATGTGGATAAGCTTGCCTCTCATAACCAATGATGTTTAGTGGTCGCCAGTGCGACAGACTGTGAAACCAAGGCAGCGATATCTTAGGTTTGCTACCAATATCAGTGCCACCAAAATTTATCAGTAGACAATCTTATAATGTACTAGTTCTCCATTTGATATTTTTTATGTTTGCATTTGCAAGATGAATTCATATGCAAGGTTTAAGGAAGCCGCCAACCTCTTACATGTCTGTACATGTTGTAAAATAACAGGTTAAATAGGACCTTAGGTCATGTTCCAGCTATTGTTTTGATGAGTAGTCCTATCACATATCCCAAAACCTTTTTGATAATCAATGATACGTTAAAGAAGTTTGTTTTCCTTATGAATATGTAATATATTTTTTTATAAAAAAATACCTTGTGTATTTTAATTCTAAAAAATAGTTTACATTTTAACTGAGACTCCTAGTCCTGTTGTACAGTATGATGCGATACCATGAGATACAAGCCAACGTCATGTCGTCACCAAGAAGATGTCGAAGAGGTTTTCATCTTCTTGAAGACGAAGCAGCCAACTTTCCTCTCTCTGAAGATTTGGAGGTTAACCATCCTGAAGTGACGTTTGACACTTTCTTTAAAAGAGTCACAGGACCAAACAGAGAAACGTCAGAAGAAAATGTGAAAAAAGATGGACACATATTTCAGGTATGTTGTTAAATGTTAATCTTAGTATATTTAATAGACTTTTTTACACTAAAGCTCTATGCTACGATTTTTAACTGATAAAAGCTTATGCTGAAAACACCTTAATATGACATTAATTTACATCCACAGCTTTAGAATTTTTATTAGGCTTATTTTATAAAACTCCCTCTGTTTAATTTCTTTCAAGACTGTTATTGGAAATTAACATACCTAGTCACAATTTTTATCCAACCTAAACAGATTTTTCCATGGGTTAAAACAAACAACTTAGCATTGATTTGATTCTTGTCTGTGTGTCAGTTTGTTTTTCTAGAGCTTTAGCTTTCGCTTTCATACTAATTCAGCAAACAAAAACCTCAAATCAGTGATAAAAAAAATTAAAAAGTCTAAATAATTATGTGTCTAAATCATCACAGGTAACACTGTACAAAGATCCTGTGTATGAGGACTTTGGGTTCAGTGTGTCGGATGGCTTGTATGAGAGAGGAGTGTACATAAACAGGATCAGACGAGGAGGTCCAGCTGACTCCTGCAAGGTCCTTCAGCCTTACGACAGGATACTACAGGTACAATGCTTGCTGGGTGGTAAAGTAACAAGGGTTTGGTTTGTTTCAATACAAAAAAAATTGTATCCTAATGCTATTCGCATAATACACAGAACGTCAAAATAAGGGTGGTAGTTAACTAAAATATTTTTACTAACTTGTTTGTCCACGATCCTGAAGTTCTTGTATTTTGTTTAGACACAATGGCACATACAGTTAATACAGTGATTATAGAATAACTGACAATGAAAGTTTCCATAATTAATATTAGTTCACACTACCTTAAAGAATAACTTACGCATCTTAACTTTTGTAATGGAAATGTTGAGTACTACAAAGATATCTTAATGTCAATTACATAGTTTGATGATCTTTCCTTCTTAGCTATGAGCTATAACTCGTAGATCCTGCATCACTGCAAGGATTAATTACACTTCTTCACTGATGAGGTATTTTGTATTACAAAGGCATTTCCAAACGGCACCACTGCGGTGCGCTATCTAGTTTAAAAGCTTTCATTTAACTCAATACACTTCCAACGACACTAGTTGCAGCAGCAAGTAGTGCGCCGTTTAAAGGAGGCTAAGATTATCTTTTCTACAAATATAACCAAGTTCCCTGTCATACTAGGGAGTTTGCTTCCAATTCAAGCCAATTTTTCAGTAACAAAGTACTGCGTGTGTTTTATCTTATTTAGCTGTTCACAATTATTGTTGATTAGGTACTATGAGTTGTATACTATCGTTGATTACCTACTATAATTGTTTACTGACTGTTTTTTTTTAATTGTTAACTCTAATAGGTTTGTCCATAATTGACAGGTGAACGAGACCAAGACAGAAGATCTGGATTGCTGCCTCACAGTCCCACTAATCGCCTCAGCCGGTGACAAACTTCAACTGACAGTCAGCCGCGGCGGATATCACCACAGCAGCGAGTTGAAGGTAAAATGCAATGAATTAACTAATCTATATGGTTATTTATAAACATTTACAAGACTAAAAATGTTCGGGGAAAGTATACAGCTAGAACAATAATTAGAGCTATGTGACCTTGAAAGTATCATATCATACCAAAATTGATTTTTTCTTATTAATTTTATATCTTTGACTCCTTCAGCGCATTTGGTATTCCATTCCATTATGTATTTTACATGTAGTAGTATGTAATTGTTAATTATCCTATCCATACTTGTAACATAGGCAAATTGAACATCAATGTTGATCACTAAATTCAAATTCTCAGTCTTCTGATGAGAGCCGCGTCAAATTAGTAATTACATATATAAAACGAGACGATTCGCCCATTACATTATGTGTTATCCTCAGTGGCAAAGCTGAGACTGATTTTAGTGATTACACCGGCTCCTTAAACCTACGATCAAAGATCACCGTTGATGTTTAATCGTGGTCTTCGGAAGTTAGCTGCGTTGTTGAACAGGTGAAAAAAATGGACAACGGTTTGAATTAACTGCAATAATCCATCTTTGAGAAACACTACAATTTAACTGAAACAGTAGCTTGCCCTGAAGAATTGCTGCAATGGATTCAAAATATCTGCCAGTATTTTCATCAGATCAAAATGCATCACAGTCATCTTCTAACATTCATTTAAAAAATTTTTGGTAAATTTAAATTGATATTTTTTTAAGATATTGTGATTTACCGCCCATTAATCAAGTGTTACTATTTCATGACAGAAAGAGTATGGTTAATGCAACGCTATAACTATTTTTTATTGTTTCTGTCTCAGGACCACCACATAACGTCCATACCTTGGATGGAGGAAGACGAGAGGGACCCTCAACTGTTACTTCCCGTCAAGTCTCCCACCATCACCAAAACTCTCTAGTCATCTCGCTTTTACATAGCTCTGTGTTGTGTTGATTAACTTGTCAATATTGTGAATTGTAAATATAAAGTCAAAGTTCCTACAACTGCTCAAATGTAGAGGAGAAAACTATATTTTACTCAATAACAGCTAGGTTAATGCGGCCTACCTCAATTATGTTGTTTTTGTGCCAAAACTAATACATTTTTAGTAAAAAAAACTTTGTGGTTATTTTATTTTGAACCTCTTCTGTATGAAAAATTTTCTGGTTCAGAATTATGTTTTTACACATTTACTGCTATAGAGAGTGTGTTTCAAAATTAATGGCAAATAACAAGTAGTGTGTGTTTTGCTGTCTCAAGCTACAGTTAATGATACAGTGACGATAACAATCAAAGGAGAAGATCTAGTTACGAACATTTACCTTGTTTTAAAGCCAGAGTTGTCTGGCTGCTGCCTTTTTATTTCTTTATAAACTATAATATTATAAGTATACATTGTAGATTTTCATTTACTGGCAGTTTGAGTATATTTATTAAAAGAATGTATTTTGATACTTACATGGCAAATTGATAGTAATTATTATGCTAAAAAATTAACTTGCATAGATTTTGGTTGAATTCTTGTCATTATAAACGGAAGGAGGAATGTGCTGGGGTTTTCCCATCAAGGGATGTATACATTTGTTTACATTAAACAATAGAATCTTTCTCACATAATAACATTTACTACATATCTGAAACATGACCAGTTTTTTCAACCATTCAATGATGAGGTTGTCTCCCAAAGACCGTCTATGTTATCCCTGCAAGGCAAACCTACCATCTAGTATTTTAACATAGACTGATTTTTCTTCAATACCGTCTTACCTAAAATGAACCATTTTTCACCGATTGATCATTCAACTCTTGATCGCAAAACATATATGAGTACAAATTGGCCTTTGAAGGGATAAATACCTAAATGTAACTAAAAATATTTATTCAATAAATTAATAACGATGTACAGTCTTTGGCTTGGATATGGCAAAGTGAGCAGACAAGGTGGTCTAAGGTTGAGCGACGTTGAAAAGCCTCTTGTTGACCCAAGCTCCATACTCGGGTCCTCCGTTGTATCCGTAGTGTTCAGAGGCTAGTACTTCCTGCACAGAAACATTCATTATGTGACAGACTTTTGGAGAATTGCAAACTTGCAAAAACATTGTACAACCCTTGGAAAGAAGATATTTGTAGGGATGAAAAAGATAGGAGGTCATCACATCACCCCATCGAAGTAAATACGTCTACCAACCCATCGAAGTAAATATGTCTACCAACACATCTAGTGATATCTACAGGCTCCAGAACTATACAAGCATGAAGCTAATCACATACAATAATTCAGACTAGCTGTCCAAGTCCAAAGGATTAAATAATTAAAAAACCTGTAATTGGAGAGTGTTCTCCGTTCTTCTAGCTTCTAGCTTGAGTTCTTCTAGCTTGAGAGATCCATACTTTTTTCTAGATAGGTAAACGGTATCATAAAATAAACTTCTATTAAGTCAAAACAGTCTTTAAAAGTCTCTCTCAGTAGTTAAAAGCCATTATGGTGCCAGAACTTAGCATTGAGGAAGGAGACCCCCCCCCCCCCCCCAACCCGTACGGTGACTGAACTGTATTTAGCTGTTCTTATTGGATAATAGAAGAAATCGCCAATGCTGGGGTCTCTAGATTCTTTTGGGTACTGACTAATGACAAACTCTGCCTTATGAACAGAGTCTAAGGAATTCAATCTAGTGGGGCCTTGATTCAATGCACAGATGAAACCTACTCTTTGTGGTTCAAGTTCAAAGAGATGATAGTTAGCTGTCATCATTCATTAATCAAAAGTGCTTGGTATTTAGCTACTGGTAAGAATACAGCAATGTTTGATAGAGACGTAGTCAGTTTGAGCACAGAGTGAAAATACACTCTACAAATAGGTGCAATGTCATTTCAATTTCAATAGGAGAATCTTTTTTGACTCTGGCCCCAGATGCCATAGAGCTATTAACTGATACTGAACTAAAGGTCAACATTAGATATATGGAGGGGTTGGGCCGTTCCCTTACAAAATGGTGTTACAAACACACAGACATACATTTCACTTTACTGCATGATTTACTTACTTTACAGCACTAGTATGGTAAATTAACAGACTAATGGGGTTCAAGGATTGAGAGAAAAGAAGTAAAATTGTAATACTTCAAACGTCAACTTATCAGCTGGCAATTCAATTGTAGTTGTAGATGTTATATTTGTCTATTTTATTTGTATTCTTCCTCTTACCTTGCTGTAGTGCTGATCCTGATCCTGAGATCCCTTGTGCAGCAATGTGTATATCATGTTGATGGCTATCAGCAGCAGAGCCAGCTTGCCGACTCCAAAAGCCTTCAGAGCTATCAGCTTCAGCTTGAAGAGGAAGAGTGGAATCAGCTTAGCTTGAATCAGCAGAGGAATCAAGAGGAAAGGCAGGAACTTCTTCAGATACTTCTTGGCTTTCTTCAGCTTTGGCTTTTTTTTCTTGATTTTGATCCCATGTCCTCTCGATTCTGGAAATTATTTGGTAAGTTAATTAAGTACAAACTCAAAATGATTCTTGCTTGTTAATTTTGGAGTAAAACTAAATAAAAGATAAAGACAAGAATGGCAAAGGTCCAATCCATGCCATTCAAATATTTTATTACTATTCGCAGTTCACAAGAATAAAAAAAGGTATTAGAATAAGAATAAAAATATGTCGTTCCAACATTGCAAATATCCATCAAGATGTCTAAATTCTAGACATTTGAAATTTCCTATTTTTAAGAAACAGCAACATTTCAAGAAGTTTGTTTTACCTAGGCTCGATTTTTTTGTAATTGTAGAAGTCTTATAATTATATAAGATGTGTATGTATAATTTATGTAAGATGTACCTGTAGATAAATATATTTCATACAAAAATTAAAACTTAGTTATCTCGATGAAGATAGGCCAATAGTTACACAAGTAACAAATAATTACTACTGCACCTGTTGCTCGAATTCGAGCAAATTGCAAAGTATTACAGGCGTTATTTCAAAACCAATACCAGTCATAATTTCCGATGACTTAAAAGAGCCAACTCAAAGATAATGTACCGGTAATCAATCACTCCACTCCAGTTATTGAAACTAAAACCGAACTCACTCAGAATACCATCACTCTTGTGTGTATCATGTGTTTACTATGAACAGCTGTAAATAATACAAATTATTTGTCTGTTAAGTAAACAAAATATTTTCTTCATAAGAAATACATTGGAATTTGATGGCCTATGGGGCAAAACTCGAGGACTTTTTTTACAGGAGAAATTTGTGAAAGTGGGCGTCTACACAAAAAATACTTAATTTTGACACATCGTTTTTAAAAATACGTCCATTATTAACGGAGGAGTAGTGTTTCGTAGAAATTGTCTTCACGTATTATATATAAGGATGTTTTTAAAATAAATTTTTGTATACTGTATGACATTTACCTGAATCATTTTCTGTTGAACTGATTTCTTCCCCCGCTGATATATCAATAGCTGATTTGGTTGCGGAATCAATGATATGTGGCTCAACAGCTGATCTCGCTTCAAAGTGAACATTTGATTGTTGAACAGCTGATTTCAGAGGAGTGGCTATGTCCTGAGGTTTTTCTTTATCTTGCTCATCAGCATAACATAACCCCGATACTGCTATCAGGAACACTACTTTACTCACTAACGTAAACAGCCCCATCTGAGAACAAGAAATGAAAATAAATTATAAACATAGATCAAACATATTTTTTATTCATTAATTATTTATCACCTTTATGTTATTTCAGAATCAAGACAGTGTTTTTTTTTTACTATTCGTGTTAGGTAGGCCTACTTAACCAAATCCAACTATATATTTTTCCTATTGCTTGTTTACTAATGCAAATAATAAATATAAAACTGTAAAATTTGCTCTAAAATAAAAGATAAACATTCCATCAACATGCATATGTAATCAGAATACTCAAACGTAGCACACTTGAAACCTATATTCAAATATGATTACGATTTGTTTACAACATGTACTTGCACTACTCAAAACCAATGTTACAATGCAAGCCTTATTTTACCACTAAAAATACATTGCATTAGTTAGCAACACAATAGTAGGCCCAAATGTTGTAATTAAATATTGGAATTACTCAATTGAAAAGTAAACTGAGAACAAATCCAAGTATTTATAACCTAAAACTCAATGCATAACGGCCTACTTACATTAAGTCGGTTTAACATTATTTATGTATGGGATGAATAAACTAAAAAACTGGAGTTTGAAGTGTAAGTAGTCCACACAGCTGGGAATGTTATGTGGATCAGCTGATTCTATTGTTGCATTGAAATCTCTTTTAACAATGAGATTCTGGGAACTTGCATGACCTGATGTGTTTATCTGTTACGTTCCGGGAGACCGCGGTGACCACTGCGTTCCACAATTCACTTTTGGATACTAAAGTAGCGGTAAACATTCCATCCATATGGACAAGCTGTATACAATTTTAAATGAAAAGGGGCGTATATTTTTGATTAACCATTCACAATGTGCTTGTCTAAATTCACATTTTCTGCCTCAGTTTTTGTTAGGGAGATCGCTGATGTGGAAAGTGTTAGCTAACAATAGGCCTAAGTTATCCTTTCAATTTGACTTGAAAAGTTCAGTGTTCAACCGGCATCAGTACTTGGACATATTAAGCGCAGGGCCGATTTACCGAATAGGCAAGGTAGGCACGTGCCTAGGGCGTGAGGCAATTGGCTTTTTTAGGGGGCGCCAAAAAATTGGAAAAAAGAAAAAAAAATGTGGCCGTTTTTGCATGCGATCGCGGTAAACTGATAATCCCTTGCGGCCGCGAAGACACCTTAACAGTCTCCCACAATTGCGGCAAGATGTTAATTATTTACCGCGGTTGTATATACGTCATCATCGTCCGTCTCCCGCGATCGCGTCAAAGTTCTGACTGTTTTCCGTGGTTGTGTGGACCATGATCATATCCCGCGGTCGTTTAGACATTATCATCGTATCATGTGATCGCGGCAATATTCTGATTATCCTTCAAGGCTCTGTGGATCTCATTATCGTATTGCGCGATTGCGGTAAAATCATGATCATATCCCGCGGTCGTTTGGAT